AAGAAATACCAAGTGACAATAGTTTTCTTCTGTCCTGGAGTAGTTATAGAGTATTAATTATTTTCTGCATTTTTCAGGCCACAAGAAAAAGGAAAAGAAACCGTGTGTGTAATTTACTGATCAATAAGTCCCTGTCTGTGAAGTTCAGGGTTTTTTTTTTGCTCTATACATACCCAGTTGTCAGCCCCATGCTACTTCCCAGTGTGAAGTTGACTAGAAGCAGAGAAAAGATGATACTGTAGCTAGAGCACAGACACGGCATGAAAGATTATAGGGATTTGGGAGTTTAAACAAATATTTACCAGTAAGATCTTGGCTTAATTTTGACAGGCTTTACAGTTAAATATCTATTTCTTTCCTCTAACAGAAGCACTACACACAGTTTCATGTATAGGGCTGTGTAAAAGATTTTTAACAAATCTCTAAAAGAGGCACTATTCAACCAACGTAGGATTCATTACAATTTCAAAGTGAGCCTCAGTTTCTCTTGGCTTGTAAGTCATGGCTGAAGCATTGACAAATATTTTCTTCAGGCATTCCTTCTCTCTCATGAATTCCAGAGAGAAACTTTTTTCTACTTGGAAATCAAGTTAAATTCAGTGTTTCCAGCCAATTCTCACTCAAAGATAAACTGACTATGACTGAACTCACACAAACCAAAACCAGAAGAGGAAAACAAATAACTGAAACCTCCCTTCCTTCTCCACAACCTCTCTGAACACTGATTGCTCCCAGTTTAACTGAGCTCTATTATACAGTACATGTTACAGTCTCAAGAGCATGTACACAATGGCTCGGGGGTAATACAACTTTTGCTTTTGTGCTGAAGGATTTCTTAATAACAGTCACATGTTAAGCTACTAGCGAAAGCTCCTTTTCCCTAGCAGATGACTCAGCACAGGAGTTTTTCATGTTATATTTAGAAGACCAGCAGATTTTTGTCACCAGTAAAACTGGGGGAAATGTTTGCAAGTGTCTATATTTTTTGTAATAGTATATCCAAACATAATTTGTAGGAACTGCTGCCTGAATTATCAGGGCAATACCATTACTTAAATAACCATAAAGGGTTTCACTTAAGCTTTCCTGTCAATTCTTTACTTCCCTCTATGTTAACCACAAGGAAAAAAATTACAACTCCAAAGAATGAAAAAAAACCCTTCAAACAAAGCTCCTTCAGTGAATGGCATGTTGCGGCTTTTAGAGTGCAACCCCTCCCCCCCACCCCCCCATAAAAAAACAACAAAAAAACCCCAAAAGAAGTCTGTGCAAGCGACAGAAATGTACTCTGTTGAACCAGACAGGCTGGTTCAGCAAAATCTCACTGAAGCACATCCCCCAACCAAATCTTTTAAGTGGTGCCAATCTACTGAAAATTGTATACTCAAGACTGAAGTATCTCTCAAGTATGTCTGTGGACTGAAGAACAGACTCAACTATCTCTATTCAAAATTCATCAGAAACACTAAACAAAACCTCACTGGTCTATGCTGCCAGTGTAGCAGGTAAAAGACAAAGAGGTGGGTGTGAAAGAAATAGTGCATGAGATTAAAAAAAACCCAAACAAGCACAGACTTTCATTACTGCAGTATTTCTATTTTAAATAGGCTGTCCTGATCAGTTTTACAGTAGCTTTCTGTTAAGATAGAAATCTCCGAAGAGATAAACAGCACAACACTTCTTCCCCAGTTTGAATGATAGAATTCTTGTTTGTGAGAAAAGATGTAACATCTGTCATTGCCTGTCTACATTATTTGTTATAATTGCTGAAGGATGCATGATTGAGTGGTTCATATTTTCTATTAGGATATTTTTGCAACACAATCTTTTATTGGATTTTGGGTCCCTTTTCCTTTTGTGGCTGACAGATATCAAAACAACTGGTATCTGAATGAGGCCTCATTAACTTCCTCAAAGGTACTATTATGGATCTTTTATATTTTAGTATTTTGGAGTATTAAGGGCTTGCACTGAATATGGTATGCAGCCTTAATACCTTTTTAGAGAAACTGGGACTTCTACAAGAATGACATGAGCTTAACAATTGCTTCAATCCAATTTGGACAAACTAAGGCTTATATCATTTCGGATTTGTCTGAAGGCCTTAGAAGGAGGGACTGCAAGGCAGAATAAGCTAGAATTGTCAACCATAAAAGATAAAGGTAACAGTATGAAGCCTTTTCTCTTTTTCAGGACAAGCCATCTAAAGGAGACGGGTGTGCCAAAATCCAAAAACAGATTGAATCTAAGGAGGAAAACACAATATCAATGAAAGACTATGCCACCCTCAGCTACTCTTCCTGCTAATGTTTAGCACTGACAGCAACACTATCATATAGTTCCTTCATTTAAACAAACTCTGTTATCTTCAATGTCTTGTTCTTTTTTTCTTTTTACTATTTTTGTCTTTGTTTTTACTAGCTGTGTGATTCCCAACTTGTCTTATTTTAGGGTGTAAAATATGTCTATGTACGTGCCTACGCATATAGCAAACGTGAAGGCTACATGAGAAAGGTGCCGGATAAATTAACTTCCTCATTATGAAAAGCCTTAAAGTCTTGGCTCAGAGTGTTCCTTAGTTGCAGGAGTACCCAAGGAAATGTTTAAATCTGTCAGGAGTAAAAAATTCTGGTTATCAAAGAGTCTACATTTGTGCTGAAGTGCATGGCCAGCTACCACATAAAATAGTGAAAACTGAGGAAAAATTTCTATTCAGCTTCAGCGTTGTGATTGACACAAACAGTAATTTGCTTTCAACATATTTAGACAGCTAAGTTTTCATTATACTGTTCTCTAGTTGGATTCTTTCCTATGACTGTTATTTTGATGGTTTGACTACACTGATTACTTCATTCCCATCCACCATTGCCATCAACTTTTTGATCTGACCTTTATTTGATTTTGATTTGATAACTCTATTACTTAACTCTTAGTTCAGTTTATTATAGTAAAGTGTTTTCTCATGTATTCTTCTTTTCATTTTGATTTATTAAAAGGAAACCAAGTCATATTTATTCAATAAGGGATGTGTCTACACATGCCCTTTAATGCATAGTAACCTATTTTACTGCACATTAAAGTGTCACACAAAATACTGTGTGACTACACTAATGCACAATAAAATAGGCTACTGTGCATTAAATGACACTTAAAAACCATGCTGTGCATTAAGGCAGCCTAATGCATATTTCTTTAGTACCACGCATTGGAGATACTAAATCTAATATGCATTGGAAAAAGCACCTTAATGCACATGTAGACACATCCAAGGATCACATACCAGAACCTTTGAGAATCTGTATGGACATCAGCCAGTTAACTGATCAGTCTAATTAGTTCCTTCTAAAATAACTCTTCGGTTCTCACAAGGACTATTTTCCTGTTCACCAGTGACTAGACATCATGTAAAAAGAAAACATCAACTAGGACCATATATTAAAAAAAAAATATATGAGTCAGTCACAGAAGGGTCCACTCTAGACTGGAATTTTAAGGGAAGAAAGTGCTTTCTTATATCATGCTCAGTAGAGTTCTTGTGCCATGAATTGCCACTGTGTGGGCTGGGCAGAAACAGATTCTGCCTCATGGGAAGGATGGTACAGAATGTCACTGGATGGTGGGTCTGTGAATGTTCAAGGGAATTCACATTAGCAGTTGAGCCCAGAAGGGACACAGAACTTCTTTTACTGGGGTACACAGGGATGCAACTTTTTTAATGAGGACTTTTCTTCTCCTTTTTTCAGTAAGCATTGACTGCAAGGTAGGAGTGGTCATTGTGAGCACTAAATAGACATTTGAAGGCATTTTAAGAGGAAGAAGAAATTAATGTCTTCAAAACAGTTCCCTAAACTGGAAAAGACTCCCTTGCAGAAATAAAATAATTAGGCATATAAATGGGACTGAAGGAACCAAGACAATCCAGCTTGGAAGCTATCCAATGTCTATCGCAAGATGGTTTATATCTTGAAGAAAAAAAGAGGGTGCGTTTGACAATCAGATTTTTTTTCTCCTTTAAAAATTTTTTTTTTGATTTGGAAAAAAGCAAAAGTCATAAAGACATGAATATTTCTGTCCTATCTATTACATGCCTACTAAAGAAGTGTACAGGTACCACTGGTTTATGAGAACGAATTAAGAGAATTAAATATGGATACCTCAGCAAAATAATAACCAGTAGAACATGATGATAGCCTGAAAGATGTAAATATCAATGATTATTTAGGCATCTATATGAAGGCATAAGAATAAGAAGATCAAATATAACCTAAATATTAATGGAAGAAAAAAATAAAGTAACCATGGTATAAAGTGGATGCTAAAGTCTCCCACGAATGAAAGATATTGCTTGGGACATTTAGGCTGGAAAAAACACCACCAAATGTATAGTAAGGAAAAATCATACGTTAATAGGAAGTTGACTTTGTAGAATCTAAAAAGAGATGACATAATAGATTTATAATACAAGCATTTAAACAAATTTAGCAACCCATATAACCAAACAGAAGACACCGTGTTTTGCTTCTCTCTTTTATTGCAACCCATTGTAAGGTCAAAAGTTTCACGGAAAAATAGAAACTTACAAATGGAGTGAATTATCTTGTTGTACTCATAAAAAGACATTCAAGACAAATGACCAAGGGTCTATACTATATTTGCCATAGCACTCATTGTCTTTATTCTGAAAATACTGTTGCCATTTTGGAGTAGATAAAAAGCCCAGCATTTTACATGTTCGCATGTATTTACGACATTCCAAGCAAAAACTCTATATTGTATCCAGAGAAATGGTTTCAACCTCATTTTGGAGTGTCTAATAAGACATTCAACAATGGTCACTAAAATTACTGGGAACTGACTCCTTCCCTTGTTTTCAGGAATTAATGCTATGGAACTGGACATACGGTTTTGGCAGACTTACAGGCACAGTTAAGCTGTTTTCTAGGTTATGCTGCATCAGTTCTCTTGGATTAGCAAAACATTGTGACAATAATGGCAACTCTTCAATTGAAGTATGAACATTTGATATTTTGGATTAAAACACTGTAACCTTTAAAAAGCAAATTTGCAGTGTTATACAACTAAAAATTCATCTTTCACCAAATTGTAATACTCTAAAGGTTAAGGCAGCTTCAAACTGAAGCTGCAATGTCTGTATTTTCAATATCTTCTTGTCAAATTTAAGTCTTTAGAATACAGTGTGACATACCGAAAATTAAACTTTTTATGTATTCACTCCAGCTTTTTTCTGCACATACTATCTTATAAATCAGTTTTGGATTAAAAACATGTATAATATTACCAACTAAAGTAGTCTTCAGTAGTTGGGGAATAAATATGAAAATAATATAGTACAATTCTTAGACTTAAAATTGAGAGGATGCAAGAAGCATTTTCCTCCACAGCATTTGTTCTCTTCTAATATAAGGACCCAGTCCTGCAAAGGGATATCTGTGTTTGGACTTGACACCCACACAACATTTTTCTGAGGTCAACTCACACATTCATTAGTGATCAGGACTGGATCCTAAATTAGAAAATAAGCATTTAATCAGAGGAAAAATCATCTGTGTTGCTTTTATCTGTTGTATTTTCTTTTTTTATTTGAAACATTACTACCAGGGAACATATGAGCATAGTCAGAGAAGACTGGTTCATTCAGAAAGTTTCTTTTAAAAAAACTGGAGCAGTCATTATTTTAATAATATATAAAAACAGGGTCTTATCACTTATTTCTCCACAGCTAGCATCGTCTATACAGCAGGTTACCTCACGAGGTGGGAATAGGCTATCTGTAGTAAATTAAAGAGCTCACCGAATACAAAAATGCAAGGTGCAAAAACTGAGAAATCTATATGACATTGTCTACATGACTATTTAAAGGGAAATCATTTTTGCAGTTGTACAACAAAACCAAGATTGTCTACTTAAATATCCATTCAGTAATTACCATAATTTATTAAGGTTTCATTCAAAATTAATTTTAAAATAATTATTTTGATAATTAGAATAATGTTTTCAAGAAAATCACACTTACTTGTTGATTCTCTTATTCCTGTGCATCTTAAAACATAGGGGTGGCTACAGTCTACTTATTAATATGCATTAGGATTAGTTCCCAATTTCAGCAAAGGTCTAGACCAATCAATTACACTGGTACTAGCATTGAGTTACTGCTTACAAACCAAAGGAAATACATATGACTGAGGCAAAGGAAAGAAAACAAACAAAAAAAACCAAACCCCAACCAGACATAATATCTTCTATAATTCAAACTATCCACAGAACTAGAAGGAATCCAATTCAGGAAATCTGCCAAAGGCTTTTATATTGTATTTATGCATACAAAAAGATACAATGCATTTCTAAAGATCTGTTTTAACCTTAATACATAGTTTACAGTACATTAAATCAGTGTATAGTATTTCCATGTTACTGCAACTTGTGTAAACTTACTATTATATTGCATCAAGAAAGGTTGTGAGCCCTCTTCTATGTCACCGGGGACTTGCAGATTTTTAGGGTGACAATTTAACATCCAGGACAGTTACATATGTCTGACTACAACTAGAGAGTAGAATTTCCTCTTAAATTTCCAGGCGAGACCACCAAACAAAAATGCTCATTACCTCAAGGATCCATCAGTTAATATGTTAAAAATAAAAGGAGCAGGTTGGGAACAACTCTTCAGCACATATTTTACAGAAAGCAAAAATGTTAAATATCTCAATAACATTGTACAACCAAAATCTGCAATCCCCAATAGACCTACTAAATACATCAGAATTGGACTGTAATATGACAGGACATTAGGAGGCAGTTGACATATTGGGTGTCCAGCCCATTTGATAAGCACGTTCCAGGGTCCTCTTGCAATCCTGTAGTACAGTACTGAAGGTTATGTGTGGATACTGCTGCACAAGCTGTTCCACTGTGGCTTCATTTACCTACAAGCAAAAAAAATGATTCTGTAATTCACACAAGGTAGACAACACCTGTAACTTACCATGGACCAAAAGAGAGTAAGGCTTTGGATTTCTGAATGCAAAATGGTGAACCACAATTCCCTCTACTTTTTTAGAGGACTTTCATGATTGGACTGGATTTTTAAAAATGCAATTAAAATAGCCTAGTTGGTTTTTTTATGACATCCCCCTCCCCCTGCAAAAAAAGGGATCATAACAAAAACTGAAAAAGCCATTTCTACTTTAAAAGGGACATCCAAAGGCCATATACCATTCTAGTTTATAGTTAATACCATTGTTTGTGATGGGATATGACAAAGAACACTGAATACTTTTTTTAAAACTAAGCATTGCTGACAATCATTTAATGATATTAAACTTAATATTAATCTTCTAACAATTTTAAAACCCGGTGTTCCAACATGCTATACCCTCATAGAGTCAAAACTGTAAATATGTAAAAAATGGAGGAGTATTGTTTAATATAGTACTGCCCAGAATTCATAGTTTCATAGTTGGTAAGGTCAGAAGGGACCTGAGCAGATCATCAAGTCCGACCTCCTGCCATGGCAGGAAAGAGTACTGGGGTCAAACGATCCCGGCAAGGTGTTCATCCAGCCTCCTTTTAAAGACCCCCAGGGTAGGAGCCGGCACCACTTCTCTTGGAAGTTGGTTCCAGATCCTAGCCGCCCTGACAATGAAGTAGCGCCTCCTGATATCTAGCCTGAATCTACCCTCTGCCAGCTTGTGACCAGTATTTCTAGTCACTCCTGGTAGTGCTCAAGGGAACAGGGACTCCCCCAATGCCTGCTGGTCCCCTCTGACTAGTTTGTAAATGGCCACTAGATCCCCGCTCAGCCTTCTCTTGCGGAGGCTGAACAGGTTCAGGTCCCTTAGCCTCTCCTCGTAGGGCCTGCCCTGCTGAA